TACTATAAATAGAAACAAATTAATTGGCCAACTATATATATATCAAAAAATTAGCCTGGCATGGGTGGCGAAATGCCTGTAGTCCCAGCTACTTGGGAGGCTGAGGCAGCAGGATTGCTTGAGCCAGGAGTTTGGAGGTTGCTGTGAGCCTAGGCTGACGCACGGCACTCACTCTAGCCTGGCAACAAAGCGAGACTCTGTCTCAAAAAAAAAAAAAGAAAGGCCGGGCGCGTGGCTTGACGCTTGTAATCCTAGCACTCTGGGAGGCCGAGGCGGGCGGATGCATAACTAAAATTATTTTAAGGTCAGGGAGTTCAAAACCAGCTGAGGGAGTCCCGTCTTTACTTAAAATAGAAAAGAATTAATGGCCCAACATAAGATTAATATATAAAAAATTTATGCCGGCTGGTTCTCGTGCTGTAGAGGTCCCAGCAAACTCGGTAGCTGAGACAGCAGGATTTGGCTTGAGCCCCAGGAGATTGGGGTTGCTGGCTGAGCTAATGCTGACGCCCACGGCACCGTCACTCTACTAGGCAACGAAAGAGAGAGTCTTCTCAAAAAAAAAAAACAAAAAAAAAAACCAAACAGGTATTACAAAGAAATTACACATTGAGGCTGGGCACAGTGGTTCACGCCTGTAATCACAGCAGCCTGGGAGGCTGAAGCAAGAGGATCACTGAGCTCAGGAGTTCAAGACCAGTATGAGCAACAGTGAGACTGTCTCTTAAAAAAAAAAAAGAGAGAGAGAGAGAGAGAGAAGAAAAGACAAGAAAAGAAAAAGAACTTACAGACTGAAAAGCAACTATCAGAAAACGAATGGCTTCAAATAAAACAGGCTGAAGTCATTAGGTCAAGGAAATTAATAAGATTAGGAAATCTTTTTGATGTTTTTGTCAGAAATTATCAGTATTAGTTTACTATTTAAAGTCAGAATGGATCCAGATACACTCCTACTCACAGTGAGTGATTCTAGTTTTGGGTTTTTTTTAAAATATCAGATCTTGTCATTCCCCTACTAAAAAACATGGAATGACATCTCAGAACAAACCAAAGAACTTCCCATCTCCTTCCTAAAGGCCCTACATGATCTGGCCCCTACCCACTTCTCTAATCTCATTTTATCTCCCATTTGTCCTTTCACTCCACTCCAAACTTATTTCACTGGCTGCCTGTATTTTCCTCTTTCCCTTCACTTGAAGATACTATCATAAATACGCTTAAACACATTTATCCATTCTTTTAAAAAAAATCAATCTCAGTTTGGTATAAACTGCATACTGGTTGCAATTTAATAGAGTATATTTCATATTTTGATTATTATTAGCTATAAAAATGTATTCAGAATCATTTGGAGGAAGCACCAATAAACTGAGACCAACACCTAGTTTAAGCAGCTTCAGTGCCTGATTTTCAGACACAGGACTACCATAATTATGAGCATACGAGGCCTTCACTTAATATAGCACCACAGATTAAAAAATGAGTCACTTGAAAGAGAAAAACTTAAAATAGTGATTTTACAGTAATTACCTACTTCAAACTGCCTTGGAATTTTAATTTATTACTCTAATACTTAACAGTGAGCATGTCCCCAAATAGCAGAGTATATAGTAAAATACTTTTAACAAGTTTAAAATTTAGTTATATTAATGTGTAGGCGCAGGCAAACAGTTTCACTGGACAGGTGCATAAAGGGATAAACTAAATGTAGGGAAGGATAAAATACTTAGGAACCTTAAAACTATAAACAGCCAATTTTAAAATCCAGTGATTATGTGCCATTTATCATTAACACTAGTAGACAAAATGCAATTAAACCCAACGTGTTGTCTACAGAAGCCCATCAAGCTCAAATTAGGATAGTTAACATAAATCTCTCAGCTCTAGCACAATTAAGAAGACCAAAGTAGGCCGGGCATGGGGGCTCACCCCTGTAATCCTAGCACTCTGGGAGGCCGAGGCAGGTGGATAGCCCAAGGTCAGGAGTTCGAAGAAAGCCTGAGCAAGAGCGAGACCCCATCTCTACTAAAAATAGAAATTAATTGGCCAACTAAAAATATATAAGAAAAAATTAGCCAGGCATGGTGGCACATGCCTGTAGTCCATACTATCTCGGAGAGGGCTGAGGCAGAAGGATGCCGCTTGAGCCCAGTGAGTTGAGGTTGCTGATCATAGGCTGTGCAGAGCACTCGTGAGCGCTGGGACAAAGTGAGACTCTGTCTAAAAAAAAAAAAAAAAAAAAAAAACCGGAATGAGCACCCACCCTCCTCTTCGCCTTCCAGTCCACCACATGGACTACACCCCATCAGCAATATGTAAAGAGCTACCTGGATTATTGGGGGGTCGTGCCTGGGAGTGTTTTGGAGACAGTCGACTTTGTGTGGCGCCTGGCTTAAGAGTGAGTGTCTGTTGCGATGCTTACTAGCTCACAGGGCAACCTCAAACTCCTGAGGGCTCAGCGGATCCTCCTGCTCTAGTTTTGTTCTACCATACCTGGACTACAGGCATGTACCACATGCACGCCTAATTTTTGTAGTATTATTTTTAGTGGTCAATTAATTCTTTCTATTTTTAGTAGAGACGGTCGTCGCTCAGGCTGTTCGAACTCCCGAACTAGAGCGCAATCGCTCGCTTGCCTAGCCCAGAGCTACCTGTTTTTACTCTAATAACTTACAGCCCCACATGACCAGGATAAACTTTTTTTTTTTTTTTTTTTTGAGACAGAGTCTCACTGTGTTGCCCAGGCCTAGAGTGAGTGCCGATTGGCGTCAGACTGCATCACCAGCACCTCAACTCTGGGCTCAGGCAATCCTTCTGCGCCAGGCCTCAATGTAGCCTGGACTAGCAGGCTATGGCCACCGATGGCCCGCTAATCTTTTTCTATATATATTAGTTGGCCAATTAGTTTTCTTTCTATTTATAGTAGAGACGGGGGTCTTGCTCTTGCTCAGGCTGGTTTCGAACTCCTGACCTTGAGCAATCCACCCACCTCGGCCTCCCAGAGTTGACCAGGATAAACTTTTAAAAGGAGTTGAAAGAAACGGACCAGGACTATGAAAATACTCCAACAATTCCACACACATGTGCATAGGGGATTGTTTACTTGATATAAGCAGTACCCCAAATCAACAGTCAAAAGGGTCCACCAGTTACCTAAAAACATCTTAGCCTGACCTATTTATGTTGGCTTTGGAGCAGGAAGTCTGAGCCTTGCTCTGTAAGTTGGTCCCTCAACAAGAACCAAACACCTAAAGCTATGACTAGGTCAGCCAGGGACCCTGTGCATTCATTTATCTCCTTTAATGGACTGCAAGACCATCCAGTTAGAGGAGAGAAGGCTGTGAAAACTAATGAACTGGAATTTGTTTGGCAAATGAATTTTTCAGATTCTCCAAACTAAGCACAATCAGCAAGGTATAAAAGAAGAAACACTGGAATAAGCTGGAAGTCCTGAATTGTATCTCACTCTAGGCCAGCTATTTGGGAGTACATGAAGAAAACCTAACAGAGAAAAAAATAGTTCTGGTCTGCTCCTGACTAAACATACGATTTTGGGAAATTTATTTAAGTCTCTGGAACTCAGTTTCCTCAACTGCAAATGGATTGGGTGACCAGTCCTGAAGGACCTTTTAGATATAAAATTCTGGATCTATGAAGAAAAAGGTCAATAGCTATATAGTATTTCTATTCACTTCTTCCTTCCAGCACAGGTTTTTATGAGAACAAAGAGTAAGTCTAACACTAAACTCTAACTCAAAATAAGTCGCGAGTTACCCATTTTATGTCCCCAAGAGCCATCAGTGCTCTACAAAACCAGATGGAACAGGCCGGGAGCGGTGGCTCACGCCTGTAATCCTAGCACTCTGGGAGGCCGAGGCGGGCGGATTGCTCGAGGTCAGGAGTTCAAAACCAGCCTGAGCAAGACCCCGTCTCTACCAAAATATAGAAAGAAATTAATTGACCAACTAAAAATATATATACAAAAAAAAATTAGCCGGGCATGGTGGCGCATGCCTGTAGTCCCAGCTATTCGGGAGGCTGAGGCAGGAGGATCGCTTGAGCCCAGGAGTTTGAGGTTGCTGTGAGCTAGGCTGACGCCACAGCACTCACTTTAGCCTGGGCAACAAAGCAAGACTCTGTCTCAAAAACAAAACAAAACAAAAAACAGAACAAATAAAACGGATGCCAATTTTCCACCATAACTTAGTAAATACGGTTTTTGGCCAAATCAATTTGGATGAAAGTTGTGCTATTTAATAAAGACGACCTGTTACCGTGGATTCAGTAAGTACAGATGTTTAGGTGCTTCCTAATGAAGGTAGTAATTTAGACTAAGCAAAACTCCATCTATTTTCATGCAACATCGCTTAAATCATCACAGCGTTTTTTAATTTTCAACTGGAAAATACCCTTTTCTTCAATACAGACAATCCTAAGATTTCAACACAATCTTTCACTTACACAATCTCCAGGAGTACTGCATTAAAAGAAGAAAACCTACCAAAGCATAACTGGACTTCAATCAGTATTAAACGGTGATTCATGTCTCACATTAAATGCAAAACGCAAAATGGAGTTGTAAAGAGTTTCTTTCCCATTTCAACTCTGACAGCCACGCGCGCTTTGCAGCGGCCAGCTACAGTGCGCGGTCGCGGGGCCCGGCTCGGAGCCCCCGCCCTGCCCAGGGCTGCTAGGAGAGAGGAAGCGCCGGGGACCGCGGGCGGGCGGCTTGGGCTCCACCAGGCCGGTCGGGCGGGGGAAGGGGCACTGAGGGCGAGGCGACTGGGCGCGCTTCCGGGGACTGCGCGGGCGGGGCCGCCGCCTTGGGGCGCGGGGCCCCAGGACGGGCGAGGAGTCAAGATTTGGGGCTAGGGCAGGCCGGCCGGCCCGGAGCAGCAGGTGGGGCGCGGTCGCGGCGGGGCGGCAGGCGGGTGGCCGGAAGAGTGCCGGGCGGGCGGGCCCGGGGCGTCTCGGCGCTAGGAGGGAACCTTCCCGCTCACCTCAGGCGACGACTCCAAGTCCGGCCTCTTCCTACCAAGGACTTCTGTCCGCCAGTCGCAAGCTCAGAGACGAGAGCCGGTAGCAGAAGAGGCGACCGCGGACTAACGAGAGAACCGGCGGAGGACCGCAGGCGGCGGGCGGGGAGCGCGAGCGAGCGAGGGCGGGCGGCGGCGGGAGGGCGGAGAGCGACGTGCGCGCCCCCGACCGCCCAGCGGGCTCGAGCCGGCCACAGTCGCGACCCCGCGCAGGCGCGCACCCACAGCCCAGCCACGATTGCCCAGGAGCGCGTCCACGCCCTAGAAGCTAGATGCTTAACCAATCATTGCAGCCGCGTAGGGCATCATGGGAACTCCGGGGCTATAAAAGACCTGGTTGCTATTTTATACTCCCCGAGTCACTCATCCTTTAAGGGGGAGGGGAGGCTGGGTGCGCGTGCGCACTTTTAATACTCCTCCCTGAACTGCCAACTCTTCGCGCAAATGAGGAGCGCCCTCCCTGTCCGGATTTACGCGTGCGCACTAAGGAGCCTGGCCCGGAAGCCCGCACGCCTGCGTAGTGGAGACTACGGTGACGGTATCCCTGGGCAGGGCGCAGGCAGTCATGGCGGAGCCCTGGTCCGGGCAGTCCTTGCAAACTCTGCCGGCCACGGTGTTAGGCGCGCTGGGCGCTCTAGGCGGCGAGTTCTTGCGGGAATGGGAGGCGCAGGACATGCGGGTAACCCTCTTCAAGTTGCTGCTGCTGTGGTTGGTGCTAAGTCTCCTGGGCATCCAGCTGGCGTGGGGGTTCTACGGTAACACGGTGACCGGGTTGTATCACCGCCCAGGTGAGGCTCCCTACGAACCTCTGTGGGCTGACTGCCCCTACCCCCACCAGACCGTACCATTGGGTTCCCCAGAATCCCCCAAGAGCCTCATCAGAACCTAACGTTGTACCTGCTCCCATGCCACCATAACATTTTATACCAGATTCCCCACCAGTCTTTCCACCACATTGTAACCGATCCTCAAAACCCTCACCAGAAATACCACTAGTCCCTTAGGACCCTCACCAGACTTTCCACCAAGCAGTACCAGCGGCCCCTAACCTGAACTGGGCTGATAGCTGCTCAGATCCCCAACCCCACCCTGCTGCAGCTCTGGATGTGTTCCTGCCTCCAGGTCTGGGCAGTCAGAACGGATCCACACCTGATGGCTCCACGCATTTCCCTTCGTGGTGAGTAAACCTGTCTCTACCCCTGCCCCACGCTTGGAAGTCCAAGGACACTTGTGTGCTGGTGACCAGGAGGAGAGTTATCACAATACAGGTCAACAGCTTAATGGCTTTTGTAGCAAGCTTCAAGTCTGCCTGTAGAGCCCAGGCTTCAACTTGGGGTGTCGCCAATGTTTGGACAGTTCCTCAGCAACCTGTAGGGTACCAGGTTGTATTGTCATATTAACAGGCAGGTCTTTTGGATTCCACTCCCTGCAAGCCCCTTAGTTGGGAAGGCAGGAACCTCCGTCCCTAGCACACTGTCTGACCTCATGAGGCGTTAGCCTCCTCATCTGTAAAACATGAACTCACAAACCAGGGCATTCATTCAGCTAATCTCTGAGCTCCTGCCACATGGCAGGGGCCATACTAGCCCCAGAGAACATGGACAACCCAGGCCCTACTTGCAGGGGGAGCCAGAGAAAGGGGAAAATAGCAGTGCAGAGGCAAGGATGGTCAAGGAATGCTTCTCCCAAGAAAGACACCTAAGCTGAGGTCAAAGCCTACGGGGTGGCAAAGTGTTTTAGGCAAAGGGAATAGATAGAACAAGACACAGGGGCAAAGACGAGGGTGACATATTGGAAGAATAGATGAGGCTGTGATGCTTGAGCTTACGCATGGGAGCATGTTGGGCCCAGGAAGCCACTGAAGGACTGACTCAGCAAGGCTGGCTGTGGCCTGATCTAATTTGCTCTTATAATTGCCTGCTTCATGGCAAGTAAATAAAGGGTCAAAGAGTGACGGCTAGAGGCCACTTAGGCTGCCACTGCCCAGGTTTCTGTCTCAGGCACCTAGGGAAAGATGGTAGTGCCATTATAAAGTGGGGAACCCAGGAGGAAGAATGGGTCTACAGGGGGAAGGTGGTGGGCCAGGATGGACTGTGGGAGATCAGCAGGGAGGTCTAGGTTGTAATGTGGCCTTATTGAGCCCAGCTCAGCGAAGGGGCTGGGGAGAGCCAGTCTCAAGGATTGTTCTGCTGTCCATGCAATAACCCCTCTCTCCTCTCTGTCTCCATCACTTGCAGGGAAATGGCAGCAAACGAACCTCTCAAAACCCACAGAGAATAAGGGAAGGCAGAAGTGTCTCCAGGGCCATCACTGGGTCTGCTGGCTTCTACACTGGGTTCTGCTGGCTTCTACACTGGGTTCTGCTGCTGCCCAGACCCCAAAGACGACTGCAGGGGGCTCAGGGTTGGAGACAAAGAGTATCCCAGTGTTTGCAGGGCTAGGCCTCCACTGCTCTTGGCTTTGCCTCCTGAACAGCTCTCAGCACTGGGAAAGTGAAGAGTTTGCCTCTACCCTTATCTGGGTGCCTTAAGGAAAGAAGTTGTGTTCCTCCTTGCTCAAGAGTCAGAGCTCAGGAGAAGCCTCTGGGTTGGGGAGGCCAACAGTCCCTTTTTTGTCTTGATTCCTTTCTGTCCCTCTCCCCATCCCCCTAGGATGTGATCCCATAAAGATCTGTCCCTCTAAGAGGAAGCCTGAAGTTTACCAGCTCTGGGATTTGTAAGGGAAGTCTGTTTTCTTTTAAGCCCTGAGTTTTCCTGAATTTCTTTGGTTTTGCTTTGTTGGCAAGGAGCCAGGAAATCCTGGCCTGGGCCAGGCCTTATACTCTATGGTTACTTAGCTGACCATTCAGGTATAAGGCAGAGTGTCCCTGCTGGCACCATCCAGCCACCTCCCTGGCCCAGCCAGACCTCTCCAGGTATTAGCCAAGCAAAATTGTCATCTCCCAACTGTCCTATTAATAGTCCTCTCAGTCCTTCTTAGGGGTAAGCTTGTGCCTCAAAGAGGCAGAGCCCACCAGCTAAGCCCTTGGGGTAACCCCCACTGCTTAAGTACCCAGGGGGTCTTTGGTCTGTACCTTGCCTTCTCATAGGGAAGTACTAAGCAGTTAGTGCAAAATGGTTCCATCATGCCCTGCAGCCTCATCATTAAGAGCCTATAGGCTCAGCTCCCCACCACTAGCACCATCTGAGCCAACAGGAAAGCCACAGGCCAGACAAGCCTTAACACCTTTACAATGAGCACGGGGAGCTTCCCAAGGTGTAGGTAACAAATGCCCCTGCAGAAACACTTCCTGAAAACATTCTGGCCCTGGACCCGCCTCCTTCCCTGATGGCCATACTTCTCCCACCCTCTGCTGGGCCACCAGCTACCTTAATGTCCTACTGCCTGCTTCCTCTGTTGGATGTCACATTTCCAGCTGGCTGCCTTCACCTAGGCCATCTTTGTGGCAGAGGTGCACTGGAGGTGGGGCAGCACTGAGCTCATGTACATGACCCCACTTCAGTGATGTCTTCAGGCTGGCAGGATGATCTTCACAGTCCCAGATCTACCCACTAACACCACCACACACAGAATCAGGGGTACATTTCACCCCAGTTTCAACTGAGGATGTGGCTTATTAAATATGGAAGTGCATCAGTTGTGTGGTTATTTAGACAGGACAAGGGTATGCATATAAGTGCGGCAACTGGAAAGGGAACATTATGGAAGCTGTTGCCCCTCAGGACCCAGATGCAATAACTTGCAGAGATGGAGAAGTGATCCCAGCTTCCTGGAGCAGCAGTGATGAGTTGCCCAAGGGGCAATATCCCCATTAGTTTTTACAGACCTGGCCCCTCTCAACAGAACCTATTCTAAGCCTGTCATGGAGACCAGGAAGGCAGGCTTTGTGTTAGCACTTCAGGAGCCTTGTGGACAAAGCACAATGAAGCTAGAGACTACAGCAAACAAGAAGGAAGTTCATTTAATATTTTTTCAGGACTCCAGTCGAGTAATGGGTCCCAGGGCTGAAGGTCAGCCCAGGGTAAGGCAAGTCTAGGAGGAGGCCCAGCCTGCCCCACAGCAGCCCTAGGGCTCTGAATAGGTGGTGAGCAGCAGGCTAGGCCTACTTGGGAATGTGGAAGGGTGAGTCCGTGTTCCCTCAGCCATCCCCAAGTTTACACACAGGCACGGCAGCCCTACTGACCCAACCCTCCATGAGTCAGGAATCATTCCTACCCAGGGAGAGGCAGCAGTTTGCATTCATGGAAAGCAAACTGGTGAGGGTGGCCTACCACACTGCCCATGGTAATAACCCTTGCAATGTGAGAAACCATGGTGAGGTAGGTTGGACAGGTTTTATCCTCCCCACAAAAGTGAGACTTCACTTCAGAATCAGCACCTGGCAGAGTGGGAGAAATGGTAGAACCAGTGTTTCTCATGTCCTCCAGCAGGGAGTAGGGTCAGTGGGACTAGGACTGAAACAGGACATTGGGTGAGCTGGTCTATCACTCAGAAATGGGGTCCTAAAAGTTGGAGTGGCATGGATTGGGTAGGAGGAATACATAGTATAGGACCCTCAATAGACAGCTTCTACTCTACCTGCCCAACCCAGTGAGTTCTGCCTCTGCTTCCTCACCAACCCTTTGTAGGATGCCCTCCAGAGCAAGACTTCTGTGGGGGAGGGCCCTGCCCTGAGCCATCCTCACTTTATTTTTTTATATATTTTTTTAACTTTATTTTTCTTAGTTTTTCTTTCTTTCTTTCTTTTTTTTTTTTTTTACTCAATAAATGATATACCTTAAGCCAAATCCTCACTTTAGAGTGTAGTAGTTCCTGGGTACAAAGGGCATCTTGCTGACCATAGCCATCTGCTGCTTCCGCCGCACCTCTACCAGCAGCAGTGTCCCCGGCTGACTATACTCATAGGGCACATAACCCATGGCCACGTTCTTCTTCAGGCAGGGTGAAGGGCAGCCACTGGTCACAGTACCTGTCCAGGCATAGGCTATCTGTTAGCACCACCCTGTCAGCCCAGTGCTCCCACCCTTCTGGGAAAGAGACAAAGACTCCCTAGCTTCCCTGGTCCACCTACCAATCACAGCACCCTCTGTGCTCAGGATGGGACTGTGCGCCCGCATGGGGGCCCCCTCACACATCAGCCCCACACGCCTCCGCTGCACCTTGCTCTTCAGCTGAGGAACAATGACTTTGGCTCCAGGGAAATCCATAGCAGCTCGGCGGCGCTTTCCTAGAACATGACACATTAGACATAAGCCACAGCCCATAAAAGCCCTGGCCGCAGGAGGTCCTAGCTACCAGGACCCCAAGTGACATCTAACCAGCATCAAGTTCCCTTCACTTGGGCTACCACAGGCTGTATTCCTCCCTTGCACTGCATTCTTCAGCCAAGCACCTCTGACCTCCTAGAGGCCATGCTACCTACCTGCTGAGGGTCCTCAGTTTCTAATCATTGCCCACAGTGACACCATAGAACCGAGACTCAGAAAAGCTGAGTCACTTGCTCCAGGTTATGCAACATTAAGAGTGGTCCTGGGCTGGCTGGTCTCATTAAAGTTCACTCCAATCTCCAGGACCCCATCCTTCAGTGCTAGCCCAGCTCACCCAATGTCCAACCGAGGCTGCCTTCCACAGGTGTGGTGCGTTCATCAATGTCCTTCCCATACAGGCAGAGGCCTGCCTCCAGGCGCAGGCTGTCCCTGGCCGCCAGCCCTGCCAGCTTCACCTCTGGGTTTTCCAGCAGAGCTGTTGCCAGGTGGACTGCCCCTGCTGCTGGCACCGAGATCTGCATAGGACACCAGAAAATAGGTGGGCAGCTTCCTCCCCCTTCTGTGCCCTGTACCACCCCACACCCACTATGTGACATACCTCTACACCATCCTCTCCCGTGTAGCCACAGCGGGTCACACGGCAGCTGGACACGCCAAACACTTCCATCACAGCACTGGACATGAAGGGCAGTTTCCTCAGGTCATCTGCTACACCAGCCTGCAGCACCTGGGCCGCAGTGGGTCCTAGACCAAGGAAGCCAGTGACCAGGCATCCAAGTCCTAGCACCCCTCAAAGCTAGACTACAGCCCTTACTCAGCCACCAGAACAAGCCCTGAGCAAGGCTTACACAGCAAGTAGGAGACAATGCTCTTGTCCCTAGCCTTGTGGTAGGTGGGGGAGGGCAAGATAGAATAGAATAATAGGCCAGGCGTGGTGGCTCACACCTATAATCCTAGCATTCTGGGAGGCTGAGGTGGCCAGGAGGCTCAAGGCCAGGAGTTCAGAAACCAGCCAGAGCAAGAGTGAGACCCTGAGACCATCTCTACCATAAATAGAAAGAACTTAGGCCGAGGACTGTGGCTCATGCCTATAATCCTAGCACTCTGGGAGGTCAGGAGGTGAGGCGGGCGGATTGCTCGAGGTCAGGAGTTCAAAATCAGCTGGAGCAAGAGTGAGACCCCCATCTCTACTATAAATAGAAAGAAATTAACTAGCCAACTAATATATATAGAAAAAGTTAGCCGGGCATGGTGGCGCATGCCTGTAGTCCCAGCTACTTGGGAGGCTGAGGCAGTAGGATTGCTTGAGCCCCGGAGTTTGAGGTTGCTGTGAGCTAGGCTGACGCCACGGCACTCTAGCCTGGGTAACAAAAACTGTCTCAAAATAAATAAATAAATTAGTTGGCCAAATAAAATAATATAGAAAAAATTAGCCAGCATGGTGGCGCATGCCTGTAGTCCCAGCTACTTGGGAGGCTGAGGCAGGAGGATTGCTTGAGCCCAGGAGTGTGAGGTTGCTGTGAGCTAGGCTAACACCACAGCACTCTAGCCTTGGCAACAGAGTGAGACTCTGTCTCAAAAAAAAGATAGAATAATGGCACACAAATTTCACACCATCCAAACCTTCCTCTTGGTTTGACCTTTGTGCTAGGCAGTTAATAAAGCCAGGAAGACAAAGGTCAGCTCTTTAACCCCAGCCCAGCCCTCTCACCTTGCAGGGCTAACAAGGCATTATCCATCACCTCCAGGCCCACATCACTGCCCTTGTTCTGAAACTCCCTCACCTTGTTCTGAAAAGAAAGAAATACTACATGAGCCTCTGGGACCACTTACTGAGCACCTAGAGATGGACATGGCAGAGCTGGGTATTAGAATAATGGGTTTGGTTCCCATCTTACAAAGCCACATAGCTACTGAGTGCTAGGGATAACCCAAGCCCAGGACTGCCACTTCAAAGGATACTCACTTAAGGAGCCAGGGTCAGCTTCACTTCCCCCTCTCCCTGCCCCCACCAAACCCTGCCATGCTCCAGGGAGGGCCTACCCATCTCATAGCTGTTCATTCTCTCAAAGAGCCATGTTCTGAGCTCCTTGTCCCTTGTCTGTGCCAAGATTGTCCTAGACAAGGATGCTGCTCTATGAACAAGGAAGACAAGGTGCATAGAACACAGAGGGGCTGTACCTGCATAAGGGCCAAGTCCTTGTCGCAGCAGCCAGCGTTGGACACCACATACAGGTACCCCTCAGAAGTGTTGGTCACGATCAAGTCATCTAAGATGCCTCCAGCCTCATTGGTAAATAGTGACAGTGTCCCCTAGCACCAAAGTGGAGCATCTTTGCCTCCAGATCCAAAAGGCCAAGGTCAAGGGTGAGCCTGATATACCCCTGGATCCACTTAGCCACCAGAAAACTTACGAGCCCTCTTGCTAAGGGCTCAGGGTATGCAAGGCTGACCCCAAGTCAAGGACGCAAGGACACAAAAACTTCCTCATGCACCGAGCAAGTTTTCATCCCCTCCCCAACTTGCAGGGGCCTCCTTGATGTGGTGGGGCCCATGTATCCCTCCCCACTCAGTACTGAGAGCCCCATCTCATGCTTAATCTGTGACACCTAAAACCTGCCGCTTCATCCCACCCAGGCTTTAGGCAATTCAGCCCATGCCTCAACCCCCAGGACAAAAGCTTCAGAGTCCACCTTGATGATCTCAGGGGTTCCCAAGCACTCCACAACAATGCCCCAAAAATATTGCCCTTAGCCCCCGGGTAGATGAAGAACCTGAGCTTGAAAGGTCACATGAATCACCTGGGGATTTTATTAAAATTAATGTTCTGATTCAGCACGTCTCTAAATAGCGAGGGGTTAAGCAGTGCAGGTCAAGAGAGCAGCACAGGAACCTTGGTTTCTGGCCTCCTAGCCTGCTGTGACGAGGCCCCACCCTGTAGATCACTACATGTCTGGAAATGACTCTGGGACTGTCCCCAAAACTGCAAGCCTTGAAAAGCTATATCTGATTTCTTTCTGTGCCCCCAAGCCTAAGGTAGGGAATCAGCCTGTTTGCTGGCTCATGACTAAGAACATTCATTGAGCAGAAATAAAAAGGCCCACCTGGTTTGGCTCGAGCTCCGCAATGTCTCCAACCACTATACTCTCCATCAGCTTCACCCGGTCACTACCAAGTATCTTGGTCTGGGGAAGAGATTGAGAGCCTCAGGCCACAGCAGCAGCTGTAATCCAAAAGGAGGTATCCTCCCTGTCATGCACAGCACAATCCAGCCTAGCCAAAGTGACTGACCAGCATTTTGGTTCTACAGGCAGCAGAGGCTCACCTTCTGATTCCCCACATCCCGACCAGGGGAGGTCAGGGTACTCGAGAGGACTTACCAACCTCCTGAAATACCTGCTTTTCCAATACCCAGTACAGTGGATAAGAGTAGGTGTCCGCCCTGGAAAACCTAGGACATTAAGCCACTTAGTGGGAGCAGACTGGAAAGATTAAAAAGGAGATGATCAGGAGACCCTCTTAAATCATTTCCTTGGAGCCAGTCTGAACATGACACCACCAAGGCTTCTAGCTCTTCTGGGAGGGCTATCTGCAGAATCCAGCTCCCAGCAAACAAAGCCAAGGAGTGTACCACTGTGACCAGGGAGGAAGGTCTGACCCAGCAGCCAGCCTGCTCCCCTGGCTTACCTGCAGCATGTGAGACACGTCAAAGAGCGAGCAGTGCTGGCGCGTGTGCAGGTGCGAGTCAACGTGACTGTCTCGGTACTGCACTGGCAAACTCCAACCAGCGAACTCCACCATTTTCCCACCATGGGCCAGGTGCAAATCATAGAGCGGTGTCCGGCGGAGCACATCCTGCAGGCGGCAGGGCTTAGTGCCACCAGGGCCCTAGCCCCTGGCTGCCTCCCTCCCCCACCCTCCAAAATCAGCTCCAAAACCCAGCACCCACTATCCCACCTGTGCGCAGCTGAGCTGACGACTCAGGACAGAAGGGAGTTGCTGCAGGCGAAAGCCCAGACGGGCCACCATGCTCACTGCCTGCCGCATCGTCGCCTGTAACCGGTGCAGACGGCGCACAGAGGCCTCCACTCAGCCAGGAACGCCGGGAGATGTAGTCCAGGCCCCTGCTCGGACAGGTCTCTCTCCCGCGCAGAGGATCACAAAAAGGGGCGGGCAGCCCCCAGGGCAGGCTGGGATTTTGAGCAGAGAGGGCAGGGACTCCAGATTGCAAGGAAACAGCCTCCAGCTCTTTCTGCTGGGCATTCAGGGCGGGTCAGGCGGAACCATAGCTGGGGGCTAGACCTCCCGCTCCAGGACTGACGGGCCTCCAAAGGGTCAAAGTTCTGGAAAGAGCTGAAAGGCCTGAATCACACATTCAGGGCCTCAAGGATGTAAGGTCAGATGGGGGGTGGGGAGGGTGGAGAGGTCACAGGAGGGTGGAGCCAGCCTGGCAGGCAGGCAGTACCACAGAAGGCAGTACCACAGAAGGCAGCACCACAGTAGCCTTACTTCACATAGGGGTCCCCAGCTTTCCCACCAGACAGACAGGGCAGCCAACACAGTCATGCATTTCACAAGTATTTATTGATCTTGGTGCATACTAGCCCCTGTGCTGGGGACACAGCCAGGACTGAAGCATGATCCCTGCTACCCCAGGGTCCTCTTCACTCACAAACACACTGAGGATCCTTGCTCCCTGAACATAGGACTATGGTTATCACCCTTTCAGAAGATGCTGAGTGGGGCTAAGTAAATGATCCTGCAGGTAAAGACACCACCTACAAGAACTTGGGTGAGAACAGAAGGTGGCCACCAAAATGTGGCTGAACTTCCTCCAAAAAACTGTTGAGCCACACACGTGTCCAATTGTCCAGGTCCAAAACACATTGCAGTACTGTTTCATAATAAGCCCCAGGCACAGTACAAGGAAGAACCAGTGGGAAGCAGGATTTTCTCATGAAGAGCAGCCTGTATCATTCAACAGTTGGCCTGTGGTAATGGAAGACCTCAGTCTCTTAAAACGCACCAGTGAGAACCCTCACTTGGACCTATCCCCACCAAGGTTGATCTTTCATCATGCTGAGCATGACTCTTGGAAAGGGACACTTGGGAGAAGGGACAGGGATATGATTTGGGCTGTGTCACTTGGCAGACAGGTCCCAGGTCTCATTCTCAAGCCCCCACCTTGCCAGAGGCACTTGCTCAAGCCCAGTGGACACAAGCATTTGAACATATATCCAGGAGCCAGCTCAGGGACCAAGGGACTCCAGCTACCCAAATCCTCAATTTTGTTTCCTAGGCAGGCAGAAGAGTTTAGACAGGAAATTTCTTTTTGTGGGCATAACACAAAGGGAAAGAAGGCCACTAGGGGGCACAAAGGAAGAAATGGGGCTTCTATTTCTTCCTAAAGCTTCCCAATCTACAAGATTGGGAAGGCAGCAATGGGCTTCCAGGTTAGATGGAGCAGGTTTTAATAGGTCTTTTCAGCCTAACTGCATTTAGGATGAAGGAGCAGGCAGAAGACAGGAGTGTGAATGTTGGCAGGAGGGGCAGAGAGTCCTTGAGGATTCTTAGTAAGTAGAACTGGAGTGTTAGGGTAGAAGAAGGAAGAACTAGGTTGCAGCCAGGTGAAGACAGAGTGCATCCCTCCCAGGAGTTCATGCTGAAGCAATACAGTAAGCCCCCAAGAATCTTGAATCTGTGAACATGGCTCAGACAGTACAGGCATGCAGGCAACACTCAGAATGCACAGGGAACACACTTTGGTCTCTGGTGGCCCAAAACAAGCCTGGGTGGGCACAGAAAGGCCATTATCTTGGCTAGGAGAACCATTCAAGTGTAGGAGAGCAAGTTCAGGTCATAACAGCCATCCACCTGCAACACAAAAGACCATCAGGTCTAACCCACTTAGGGCAATATAAGCCAAGCAGAGGGAAGTGATCACTCACATCAAAGCGGCCGATCCTTGCGGAGGTGTGACTGGCCCGGATCATCTCTGTCAGCGCCCACATCTGCTGCACCTCGGAGGATACCCTGCTGGGGTCTGGGAGACCCTGCTCCAGAAGGAGGGGTCAGTGGCCATGGGTCTCTCCCCAACAGTGCCCTTAGGATTCCAGGGAGGCCAACCTGGGCTAGGGACCCACGACCAATAACATTACAGAGACCAATAACATTTCCAGATGACTTATAAAACATGAGGCTGGGGCCTGATGTTCAGTAAGCAGCCCAGCCCCATACCACAGTTGCCTCAAATCCCATAGAGCACCCAAGAGGAAGCTGGCACAGAGTAAACCAAGGGCCCTGGGTCCAGCCCCAGATTCTTACAAAAAGGAACCCACCTGGGCCTGTGCTAGACACCAGAACCATTCACATGTGGTTCTTACCCAGGGAAAGGGCTTACCTCAAGTAGGGGGACAGGTTGCTCACAGGGGACTGGGTGGGAGAGCCACTTGGGGAAGGTCATGGAGGGGCTCTGCAAAGCAAAAGCATACTGCCCTGAGTGAGGTGAAGTGGGAGAGCTCTGGGACCATATTCCAAGGCTCTGGGAGTAGAGAGAAGAGCCCCTGAGCCTAAGACACTGGGAAAATACTGTTCAGGTGGCCCACAGAAGCCCAAGGCACCTAAGCTCTGTTATTCAGGAGGTCTCATAAACACAAGCAGCAGAAGTGTCCCCCGGCATCTAAAAGCTCCAGTTCTGAAAGTGGCAAAGTAGCTCCAAAGGTCAGGGGATATGGGGACATGGTCTCACCTCTCATCATGAACTTCCAGCTTTCACACTCAGTTAACTTCCATGAAAGCCTCTTTGTTTTTTGTTTGTTTTTTTTTGAGACAGAGTCTCACTCTGTTGCCCGGGCTAGAGTACTGTGGCGTCAGCCTGGCTCACAGCAACCTCAAACTCCTGGGCTCAAGCAATCTTACTGCCTCAGCCTCCCGAGTAGCTGGGACTACAGGCACACACCACCATGCCCGGCTAATTTTTTCTATATATTTTTAGTTGGCCAATTAATTTCTTTCTATTTTTAGTAGAGATGGGGGTCTCACTTTTGCTCAGGCTGGTTTCGAACTCCTGACCTTGAGTGATCTGCCCAACTCAGCCTCCCAGAGTGCTAGGAAAGCCTCTTTCTGAATCACACTATACTTACCCATCACCCGCCCCACAAACCCAGCTCTCCTAGCCATAGTGGGACGCCTCCTGGGGAAAGGGCCAACCAACAGCTCTGAGTTAGTCACTTACCTTTGGTCCCTGCTGATAAATCTGCAGCTCCTCCACTGTGAAAGACAACCACAGTGGTGATGGCTGCCGAAGAATCAGGCGTAGCTCCAGTACTCTGGCCATGTCACACAGCATCTGACACACACACACATAAAAGGACCCAGCAAGGACCCAGCTCACTGCCCAGGCACCTCTCAACAAGCAGTGAGCCAAAATGCTGCCTTCCCTGGGCTTTGGGAAGGAAAGAACAATAATCCCTCCAAGGCACTTGATTGAAAGCCAAGCCAGCCTTGCCCCTTCTTCCCTCCTGGTATACTGATCCAATCCCCAGGCCTCCTGTAAGTCCTCATCTTGACTGCCCTGGCCACACTGAGGCCCAGCTGACCTGGTGTTTGAACAGTGATACATAGTCCTGGGCTCCCTCCTCACTGTGTGGGTTGGGCATCAGACAATGGTCTCGCAGACAAGTCACCCACTTGGCCGGTGTATGCATCGAGGTATGCTGACGGACGCGGATGCTCAAAAAGGCTGTGTAGTAATTCTTAAATGTGATCTCCTGTAACTAAAGTACACACAACCCATCACGACAAATAAGATCCAGACTCAGGGCCTGAAAGGCTCAAAGGCACCACCTCCTCCTACCCTTGGAATGGACTCTTCTACTAAACTAACAATTTCAACAAGCATCACTGGACCCAAAGATAATGTTGCTTTCCTAGAGGTGCTCACAGTCTGAATGAGCAGGTCATGCAAACAAAACACTACCACCATTGATCTTACCACATGTTCAAGATGCTACTACAGATCAGAGCCCTAATCCTTTGAGGAGGCAAGTACAAATGACGCCTAAAGGAGAAAGAGTTTGTCAAGTGCACCAGGAAAAGTAGCACATACAAAGAAGTACCAGAGGGTGAAAGAACCTGGTGTACCACTGGAACAGCTACCAATTTGGCCAAGCTACAGCAGTGGTTCTCATCACTGGACATTCATCAGAATTACCCAAGGAAATTTTTAAAAATAGAGGTGTCCAGGCTCCACCTCAAATCTACTAAGTTAGGATTTCCAAGGTCGGGCCCATTAACTACGTTTCCTAGCTGACAGTAAAGAACAGCATGGGGGAGAACCACATACTACAGCACAAAGCACATGGGGCAGAGAGGCAGGTAGAGCACAGACATTCAGTGGCTCTGAATGCCAGGCTATTAGAGGTAGGTCTTGTTTTTGTTTTTCTCTTTTTAATGTCATGAAAATGCTGTGCTGTGGCAGAGGTAGGGGTTTTTTTTCTTTTTTTCTACTTTGAGACAGGGTCTCACTCTGTTGCCCAAGAGTAAGAGTGCAGTGTCATCATAATAGCTCACAAGAGCCTTGAACTCCTGGGCACAAGAGATTCTCCTGCCTCAGCCTCCTGAGTAGCGGGAACAGGCTTGTGCTACCACACCTGGATAATTTTTTTTAGTTTTTGCAGAGACGAAGTCTCCCTATGTTGTTCTGGCTGGTAGAGGTGGGTTTTGTCCTCTGTGTTAAGGTCATGTAGTATTTAGTCCCTGTCAGCTGATGTGGAAGTCAACTAGAGATTGGAGACTGGTGTCATTGGGAGGATCCTGATGAGGTACCTGACCTCTGGCAGGGATTGCAGAAATGGGGAGGAGGCAGGTTTCAGGGTAAATCATTGTTTAATGATCCATAGCTATAGCCAGGGACAAACTGACCCCTCACCTCTACTTGGTTCACTGTATTTCCAGCACCACCTATCTTACTCTCTGGTACCTCTGTACCAGCATTGTCCTGGACATTGGCAAGAAACGTTGAAGAGAATAGGACAGGAAGCTCTATTCTAGGAAATATGTGTTAACTCAAGGAATAAATAAACAAATGATTAACTTATTTACAAGGACAAGAAACACTGCAGAGGCCTTCCTTGTAAAAGATTAAATGCCTGGAAAACTACCGAGTTCCCAGGTCTACCCCGCCCGGGGCCCCAGTAGCGCCCATGGGGCTTGCTCACCTCGAAGGGCGCGACGCTGGGGAAGGTGACATCGATGACCAGCACGCCAGGCCGGCCATGGGAGGTCCGCACGTCGCCCACCTGCAGAGCCACAGTGCCTTTCACATGGCAGGGCACCGACACACGGGACATGATGCCCCCAAGCGCGACCAGGCGCAACCGCTGCTCGGGTCCCCCAACCACCAGTCCTTCCTGGCACCCCCAGCCAAGCCTCATGAACTACAACTCCCGGGAGGCCTCGCGCTGGATCAGCCCAGCCAATCACCGTTACTCAGAGTGGGCCAGGAGTCGGAAGTGCCTACGGAAGTTATCCTTCAGCCAGTAACCGCGCGAGCCTTAGAGGCCACGGCCCGGCGGTGGCCTCTGCTGTATCTGATCGTTTCCTGACTGCTCTGATAGCCTTTCATCTCCTTTGGTTTCTGCCACTGCGAAGCCGGTCTTTAGTTAGAGCATGTAAAGCCATGAAATCAAATGAGCATAGTGGCTGCCCTACATTAACCGCAAAAATAAATATTAGTAGTAAAAAAAGAAGCAGCAGCAAGGCCCGGTGGATCAAGTCTGTAATCCTAGCACTCTGAGATGAAAGGCCAAGTCAGGAGGATCATTTGAGCCCAGGAGTTTGAGGTTGCAGTGAGCTATAATGATGCCACTGCACTCTACACATGCTACACAGGGCGACAGAGTGAGACTCTGTTTTACGTAAAGAGGGGGAAAAAAGCAAAGAATTAGAACAGATACTTTGTTTCCAGGCTCCCATTTGTAATCCCAGCTAACCTTGGGAGGCCTAGGTGGGAGGATCTTTTATGGTCAGTTCCAAAGCCAGAACAATATAGCAAGACCCCTGGTGTTTTTTATTTTTACTTTTTTAGGTAAAAGTCTCAGTGTGTTGCTCAGGCTAGAGTGCCGTGGCGTCAGCCTAGCTCACAGCAACCTCAAACTCCTGGGCTCAAGCAATCCTTCTGTCTCAGACTCCTGAGTAGCTGGGACTACAGGCATGCACCACCATGCCCGGCTAACTTTTTCTATATAGTTGGCCAATTAATTTCTTTCTGTTTTCAGTAGAGATGGTATCTCCCTCTTGCTGGGGCTGGTTTCGAACTCCAGACCTTGAGCGATCCTCCCACCTCAGCCTCCCAGAGTGCTAGGATTACAGGCGTGAGCCACCGCGCCAGGCCGTAGCCTTTATGACCAGGCAACAGAGCGGAACCCTGTCTCTCCCCCCTACCCAAAACAAAAACATAACACGGATAGTTAGTGAAAGAAGATAAATAACCAATAAGACCATGAAAAGATGCTTACCTTTTTTTTTTTTTTTTAAACATAGTCTCACTGTGTTTCCTGGGCTTAGTCAGCCTAGCTCACAGCAATCTCAAACTCCTAGACTCAAGCAATCCTTTTGCTTCAGCCTCCCAAGCAGCTGGGACTACAGGCACACGCCACCATGCCCAGCTAAATTTTTCTATATATTTTTAGTTGTCGGGCTAATTTCTTTCTGTTTTTTTCAAACTCCTGACCTTGAGCAATCCTCCTGCCTCGGCCTCCCAGAGTTCTTTGTGTTTTTTAGTAGAGACGGGGTCTCGCTCTTGCTCAGAGCTTATCTCGAACTCCTGAGCTCAATCTACCTGCCCGCCTCGGCCTCCCAGAGCTTAGCTTTAATTTTTATCAGGGAAATAGAAATTAAAACTTCTACATAGCCACTAAACATGCTAAAATTAAAGACAGACGAGGATGAGGCGTTCCTAGAACCTTCATCTGTTGCTGATTTCCAACTACTTTGAAAAAGAGTTTACTGTAGCCTTCTTATTTTTGTTTATAAAAAACAAACAGGCAAAAAAAATAAAAATAAATAAAAAAAACCAGGGGCGAAGAGGGGCATGGGCAATATACATAACCTTAACATTTGTACCCTCATAATATGGTGAAATAAAAAAAATTAAAAACAAACAAACAAACAAACAAAAAACCAAGTTTGCCTTCATTAAAGAACTAAATTTAGGCCGGGTGCGGTGGCTCACGCCTGTAATCCTAGCACTCTGGGAGGCCGAGGCGGGAGGATTGCTCGAGGTCAGGAGTTCTAAACTAGCCTTGAGCAAGAGCGAGACCCGTCTCTACTATAAATAGAAAGAAATTAATTGGCCAACTAATATATATAGAAAAAATTAGTTGGGCATGGTGGCTCATGCCTGTAGTCCCAGCTACTCGGGAGGCTGAGGCAGTAGGATTGCTTGAGCCCAGGAGTTTGAGGTTGCTGTGAGCTAGGCTGATGCCATGGCACTCATTGCACTCACTCTAGCCTGGGCAACAAAGTGAGACTCTGTCTCAAAAAAGAAAAGAACTAAATTTATACTTACAGTATGATATAGCCATTGCATTCCTAAGTATTTACCCAAGAGAAATGAGAGCATAGATCAAACCAAAGTCTTTATTCATAACAACCAAAGATTGAAAATAATCCAAATGAATCTAGGCCACCCCCATCTCTATAAAAAAATTTTTTCTAAATTAGCTGGGTGTGGTGGTGAGTGCCTATAGTCCTAGCTACTCCAGAAACTAGGCAGAAGGATTGCCTGTGGCCAGGAGTTTGAGGCCACCCTGGACAACATAACAAGACCCTGTCCATACAAAAAGTTAAAAAAATTACCTGAGCATGGTGGTGCACACTTGTAGTCCCAGCTATTTGGGAGGCTGAGGCAGGTGGATGGCTTGAGACCAGGAGTTTAAGGTTGCAGTGAGCTATGAGCCACTGCACTGTGACCCACTGCACTATAGCCTCAGCAACAGAGTCAGACCATGTCTCTAAAAATAAATAAATAAATATAAAATAAATTTTGATTTTTCAGAGAGTGCTGTCTCAATCTCCTGGACTAATTAGATCACTGTATATTATCAGAATATGCTCCACATTTTATTATAATCATCACTAAAGCCCATCTCCCACTCTGGCCTATGTGGGGCAGAAGGGCTGGAATTGAGTCTGCCAGCTTAACAGCTATATTCCACATCTCCTAGCATTGTAAGATACATAGCAGGTGCTCAATAAATACATTCCAAATGAACAAAAAAAAATTTATTTTTGAGACAGAGTCTCACTCTGTTGCCCACGCTAGAGTGCCATGTCATCAGCCTAGTTCACAGCAACCTCAAACTCCTGGGCTCAAGCGATCCTCCTTCCTCAGCCTCCCGAGCAGCTGGGACTACAGGCACACGCCACCATGCCCAGCTAACAAAAGGCTTAGAGAATTGGCGCGATGCCATGAAAGACGTAAGAAGAAGTGCCTGGGACACTATCCACTGAACAGCAAACAGGCCAGAGGCAAGAGTCAGACTACTGGATTTTACGTACAAGAGGTGGGCATAATCCAAAGCATGAAGAAATATAACATAAACAAACTTGAACCAAAGACCTCATTTAAAATCGAAGTGAATTCCAGCAATACTAATGCTAATAAACCGCATGGCGAGGCATATGGTGGGAAGGATCTCTGCTAGAAAGGTCAGAACAATGATCCATAAGCCGACAAAAAAATATTATACAAAGTCTACTATGCACCTGGCCTGGTGTTTTATTTTTACTTTTTAGAGGTAAAAGTCTAGTGTGTTCTCAGGCTAGAGTGCCTGGCCGTCAGCCTAGCTCACAGCAACCTCAAACTCCTGGGCTCAGCAATCTTCGTCTCAGACCCGAGAGCTGGGACTACAGGCATGCACCACCATGCCCGGCTAATTTTTCTATATAGTTGGCCATTAATCTTCTGTTTCCAGTAGAGATGGTATTCCTCCTTGCTGGGGCGTTTCGAACTCCAGACTTGAGCGATCCTCCCACCTCAGCCTCCAGAGTGCTAGGATTACAGGCGTGAGCCACCGCGCCAGGCCGTAGCCTTTAGACCAGGCACAGAGCGGAACCCTGTCTCTCCCCCTACCCAAAACAAATAACACGAAGTTAGTGAAAGAAGATAAATAACATAAGACCATGAAAAGATCTTACTTTTTTTTTTTTAAACATAGTCTCACTGTGTTTCCTGGGCTTAGTCAGCCTAGCTCACAGCAATCTCAAACTCCTAGACTCAAGCAATCCTTTTGCTTCAGCTCCCAAGCAGCTGGACTACAGGCACACGCCACCATGCCCAGCTAAATTTTTCTATATATTTTTAGTTGTCGGGCTAATTTCTTTCTGTTTTTTTCAAACTCCTGACCTTGAGCAATCCTCCTGCCTCGCTCCCAGAGTTCTTTGTGTTTTTAGTAAGACGGGGTCTCGCTCTTGCTCAGAGCTATCTCGAACTCCTGAGCTCAATCTACCTGCCCGCCTCGGCCTCCCAGAGCTGCTTTATTTTATCAGGAAATAGAAAAAAACTTCTACATAGCCACTAAACATGCTAAAATTAAAGACAGACGAGGATGAGGCGTTCCTAGAACTTCATCCTGTTGCTGATTTCCAACTACTTTGAAAAAGAGTTTAACTGTAGCCTTCTTATTTTGTTTATAAAAACAAACAGGCAAAAAAATAAAATAAATAAAAAAAACCAGGGGCGAGAGGGGCCATGGGCAATATACATAACCTTAACATTTGTACCCTCATAATATGAGTGATAAAAAAAATTAAAACAAACAAACAAACAACAAAACCAAGTTTGCCTTCATTAAAGAACTAAATTTAGGCCGGGTGCGGTGGCTCACGCCTGTAATCCTAGCACTCTGGAGGCCGAGGCAGGAGGATTGCTCGAGGTCAGGAGTTCGAAACTAGCCTTGAGCAAGAGCGAGACCCGTCTCTACTATAATAGAAAGAAATTAATTGCCAACTAATATATATAGAAAAATTAGTTGGCATGTGGCTCATGCCTGTAGTCCAGCTACCTCGGGAGGCTGAGCAGTAGGATTGTTGAGCCCAGGAGTTTGAGGTTGCTGTGAGCTAGGCTGATGCCATGGCACTCATTGCACTCACTCTAGCCTGGAACAAAAGGAGACTCTGTCTCAAAAAAGAAGAACTAAATTTATACTTACAGTATGAACACCATGCATTCCTAAATCTTACCAAGGAAATGAGAGCATAGATCAAACCAAAGTCTTTATTCATAACAAAAAATTAAAAAATAATGAATTCTAGCCACCCCCATCTCTATAAAAAATTTTTCTAAATTACTGAGTGTGGTGGTGATCACATAGCTACTCCAGAAACTAGGCAAGAAGGATGCAAGATAGGCACAGGAAATATAGACCACAACTGAGACAACTATA